TCTAGTTGGCGCTGTGTGAATTGTCTGTATTAATATTATTATTCTAAATTGTTATATATCTTGAATAAAAAATAGAATGATAGGTACAACAAGAGAAAGTATCATCAAGTAAACAAGCTAATATTGAGTGTGACATTGCGTACATTGATATTCGACGTTATTTAGCGAGTAACACGCCATACGTCAGTTTAGTATCATCCATCTTCCCCCCATTCTGATCGGAATGCACTTCAGATCATTAATCTAAAGTTATTTAAAACTGGGACGTCTGTGACAATACGCATTAGTTTTACTCAGTGTAATAATAAAACACTGGCCAAATATAATTGTTTAATTAGTTCAATACGGCATTATATTACCTATTGTTATAAATGCAAAATGAGTTTGTTTACTACGTTTTCGCTTAATTAATTATCATGCTGATGTATCACGATTCAATCCTGAATAGATTTCTATACCAATTTCGTAATGTATGAAATCGGTTTTATTGTCGTACTATCTTAATCTTAATATATAATATTATAAACGCGAAAGTTTGTGAGTGCTGTGGATGTTTGTTACTCTTTCACACAAAAACTACGGAATGGATTATGATGAAACTTTACAGTAATGTAGCTTATGCATCAGAATAACACATAGGCTATATTTTATATTGAAATTTAACGCAGGTGGAACCACGGGCACAGCTAGTTACAGAATAAAACCCAATTTTTAAATATGTCTTAGGAAAATGTAAATGTTGAGAAATTCTTTTGATATTAATATATTTAAGGTTTTCTTGTATTCTATAATCAAAACTATAAAAACAAAATTATGTCACTTCACTCTCTACCATCTTACCATTAAATACATTTTTCCAGTCATAAATAATTTTACTACATATTTCTACAACAGTAAAATAATATAAGTTTTTAGGATACATATGATAACGACTGTATTCAACATATTAAAATACATCATAATAAAAATGATTGTAATTAAAAAACTTAATAAGCAGAGATACAAAATTGCTTTTTTGTCTACTAAATCCACATAGGTTACAAAGCTTTCAAATTGGAACAAACGTAATAACGTCCCCGCCCTAAAATATCGAGTCTCATCTAATCAATCAAGTTTAGATTAACACTCGTCCGACTAAAGAGCAAGCAGACAAAAACAAATGAGCGCGGACTCAACTCGAAATCAAATTAACTACGGGCCAGTTTAAGACACCAATTAAACCCCCAACAAAAGCTATCTTCAATGAAACGAAAAAAATTTGATAGATCAACTCTTTAACCTAATCTATCATCGATGATGGAGTAACCGAAAATGAACCTTAGCATCACTAAGTTAGATTCAAGTTAGATGCTCGCAGTTCGGTAGAAATATGAGAAGGTTGTTGGCACAACATCTTATATCGATTAAACAGATAATTAATCACGGGAAATGAATCCGAATGAGATGTTATTAGTTATACCACACTCGCTATTAACAAGTGAAACAATAGATGTGCATCTACATGCTGTTGTTTTAAATGTTTATTAAAAAATATTTTAATTTTAGTCTAATAGTGGATCACAATGATATAACTTTCACATATGGGTATATTAAACCATTAATGGTATATTAAACCATTAATTTAATTTTGTGTATCACTTTATATTGATTATCATGAACTTACTACTTATTTACTTACTTTATATTAAAATTTAATCAAAATATTAGAGACTATTATATGAAAATAGCATAAACAAGTCTCAGACATCATTTATTAAAGAATAATGATGTAAGGTAAGAAGCATTATCAACTGTCGAAGTTATGGTAAACGCAACACTTGACAAATCCTCATTTTGCTAGAATTAACAATACTGGATTAATGCATGTAACGTCACAATTCAACTAAACTTGAAATTGACAGAAGGTCCATTTTGATCTAATCTCCTCAATGGACCTATCATTAGGTACGTGATACAGGTGATAAAATTAGAGCAACCTGTACATATGCAGGAGCGGACCGATGGCCGATCAATCAGCTGCTAACGAGACGGTCACGTGGTACAGCACAACTCACGCCTCAACCCCGCACACCCCCACTTACATGCTCATTGACTACGATAACAATCTTAAAGAACTGAAACATGTGCGAGTAGAACTTAACCTCATGGGGGTTCCGTCCGTTGTATGTATTTTTTATAAATATGCATGCGTAAAAACCTCCCTTATGCCAAATGGAAATTGCCATACTGGTACAATGTAAGTAAAATGTGCAATGGGAAAGAAGATAAAAAAGAGTACTTTTTATTACGTTTATTTGGATTTTTCTGTATACTTTTAACAGTAGGTAAGTGAATGAGTGACGAACATAAAACTGGAGTATATAACGTGCCATAATCAATAAACAGACTGAAAATAAGGTTAAGTTTAATTTCTGTTACAATTTGATATTTGTTACTGCAATACTAATTTAAAAACAGACTTAGTAGTTTTCCGAGAGTTCGTCTTTTTTAAAACAAGTTATAGCCTATATTCGCCGTCATTATACAATCTGTCATTACGCCAAATTGCATTAAAATCTGTTTAGCAGTTTAGTCATAAAAAGATAAGAAACAGACAGACAGGCTTTTGCATTTTACATGTTAGTATACATTTAATGCATACACAGCTAAAATTTATCGAGATTATGATTTATTGAATATTCATTTCCTGGAAAAAATAAGGTCCACGACCACACGGGCGATACGTTTAAAACATATAGCAAATAAGAACACAAAATAATTAATTATTTGCAATGGAACTAATCAAAAGAACAGTATGAAGAAACCAATCAATTCTGGAACACCCACCAAGCTAGGCATATTACACACTTTGATCAACATTTACATAATCGTTTGTCGCTGGCATTAAATTAAACGTCAGAGATTAATAAAATAAAAACAATTTCTTAATTTCTTTTTTTTTTATAAACACCAGACAAAGACAGAGTGCGGAGACGGCGCGGGGCGTGGCGGGCTAACTTTCATTACTCATGAGCAATAATAAATGATAAAACATTATTAATACGAAGAGATCAGTCGGAGTGATGGAGGCACATAATATGCGAGATTAACCTGGGTCGAATAAATTAATTCTACTAATTTTAAGTTGTTCGCTCTAAGGCATAAACATTCCAAACAAGTATACTTCTTATTTTTATCAATTAATACTTTTTATTTTTAATAACAAAAAAACACATCAAGACAAAGAAGTGTAACTGAAATTTTTAATATTTTTAAATCGCAACTAATCTTAATTTGATTTTCGTTTAAAGTCCGACAAGTACCGATTAGTTCTCGCTGTTATCTTATTCCGCGTAATAACAACCAGAAGTTTATTGGGTACGTTCGGATGTGATAAATTGAATAATAATTTATTCCGAACAAGATAAGCAGGGCCGTTCTGATCGCGAAGTGTGATACACTCATCGTGTGGAGGATGCTATTACAAAGCGCCGTAACAAATTTTAATGGTATTTTAAAGTGTGCGGTTAAAATATGATTCTTTAATGTACGTAAATATTTAATAATTGTTATGTATTAAACAAGTTTTAATTATTCCACGTAATTAATTATATAAATTCTTATCTTTTCATTGTGGTATGAATTAACAGTTTAAAATGATTTTACGAATACTATCTATGTATTACGTATTCGTACTGCTACTTCGTGAATCGATCTAATTATTTAAGAGTTAAGACAGATATTGCAATATCATAGTTACATATTTTTTATAATATATTTGCTTAATTATTAGGTACTTAATAAAACTTGTAAAAGAAGATAAAAGCTTTAGCTAGAAAATTAAAGAAATAACAACATTATTAAATGAGATTGGTCTGAAATTAATCTGTTCAAATTATAAACAACCTAGTAACAATAACTATTGATTTGAATAACAACAAGGCGGTCAGATATCAACATGATCTATCCAACGACAATGCTGGCGCCATTAACAACAGAGATCAATTAATGCTAGAAAGAGACCGTAAATACGTGAACGAACAAGTAAGAATGAGAGAGATGTGAAGTTATCAATCACGCGCCCGCGCACGATCTCGACGCCCGAAGCGATCGAGAGATCTCCTGCTTAATTATTTCTATTATGATATTTAAAATATAATGATTATCTTTATGGTTAAGTTCCATATGGCGAATTCCCACACTTGTACAATATCACTAAAGTATTAATTAATTGTGAAATTATAAATGTGAAAACATGTCTACGTTCATAAAACAACAACTGAAATAGTTAGTAATTAATAAATAAGCACACAAATAATACAATTTATAATTTGAATATCTCATTTGTATGAAGATACTAAAGTATCCAGATTTATATGACAAACTGAGTCCGATGTTTCTGTATGACTACTTTGTTTGTTAACAATTATAATAAAATCAACATACATTTTTGTTAAGTGAAGCTTTCTATAATATTTTAGTGAAAACTACGTTTTTATCAGCGTGCACAAACGTTCCAAAATTTTTTCTTAGATCTTCTATATACGGACAGCGTTCAGTTATATTTTTATTATATGTAATACTATTAAAGTACATGAAATTGATACTGTGTTCTACATTCATTACACTATCAGATGTTACTTACAACATTTCTTCTAGTGTTCACTCAGAATTTCATTAATAGCGCACAGTTTTAGTACCACGACTCGAAGTCGTCAATCACTCGTGATCTTATCACACTACCACCGATCTCCACAATATAAAACCGTTTATACAACCAATGACTGATTTAACTTATATCTGATTTGTATCAGTACGCCAATAATGGAAGAGCTCTCATTTGATACCGTTTGTATGGCTATATTCGTCTAACTTGACCGGTCGCTTCATATCATTCCAATCGATGATCGTGAATGGAGCATTTAGACTTATGATAAATTACAAGAAACATCAATTGTTACAGAGGATTAATCAAAACGTGTTTAATAATGTCGATTCGAAATTGTGGGAAAATTACTTACCTCGTTTTTGCATGAAAGAGAATAGATCGTCGAGGAACTCCTTCCTCTGCGGGTCGTCACTTATCTCGTACAACTGTAACAAATGGAAAGTGTGACTATATAATAAACTTTACTCGTTATGTATATACCTACTTGTATAAACCTAGCGGAACCATCTGATCAGATGCATATCTGTCGGATCTCAGGCAATCATGTCGTTTAGGAGTTAGGTGACAAATACGCAAGAAGTATTAATATTAATTTTACTCTTTATTACACAATTCAAAAAATATACAATTGATTAAGGAAAAATATAAAAAAAAAATGTAAAATTAATAACATATGGTATTTTCTAATCATTGGATAAAACAGAAAGTGGTTAAAAGGGGCGATAGAAAAAGATACACAATAAACTACATATATATTATAGGTATCAAGGTATGTATTATGATTATAAACGCTAGGTCTTCAGATAATTAAAATAATAATAATCAATATTGAGGAATACAAAAAAATGTTTTAGTAGGTACAGATGGATAATATTTTTTTTTTTTTTGTTAAAACAAATATTTATTTATATATATTAGCTGGCCTGTGCCTTCTTCGTTCAGAGAGACATCACATCTGTGATCAGTCTCTCTTAGACTGCACTGTGTACTTTATTTGCGTATATACACAGATAAGATAGAAGTTTCAATCTTCACCGTTATCTCCATTATTCCAATAATGGAATATATTTAAAATTCCATTTACCAATCATTGTTTGTCAAATGGATTTAATATTCCAATGTAGGAAATGTTTTGTAACGGTGATCGCACAGTGGCCACGTGCGCCCGCATGCCCGGAAAAACATAGGAATTGCATTAATACCTAACTATCATAGGTACATACATTACAATAGTAATCATTCAGAAACAATGACAAGTTTATGAATTTTATGAATGACTACCCGACACCGAATAACTACAAAACAGAAATAAATATATATTTTAATTAAAATAATATAAATACGTAGAATCGTTATTAGGTACTATTATGTAATCTGAATATATGTCTTTATTCATCTATTTGGCACAAACTCCCCGATAAGGGCCAATCTTTTCAGAAAATTCTTCACTGGCTTCATATGTTTAGGTTTATGTATTTAATATTGTTTGTATTATGTATTTAAGTTTACTAAACTAAATTCAAAGTGTTTCTGGTATATTTCTAAACTTTGATACGTAGCGATTTGATTCTCATACAATCAGTAGGACGCCAAAACGCATATACGAGGCTTTCCAAAAACCCCACAACTGAGCAACCTGTATCCTTCTGTACACAAGCAACGCAATAGAAGTTGTCATAAATATTTAATTTAATACATTTATACACATGAACATTATACATGGAAAACACGAAGTAGGTATTCATGATGTTTAGATGTACCTGTGTTACCTATATAATTGATGCCCGCTGCGAGAAACGTGTCATTGCAAATAATTACGCCGATATCCGGTACTTAAGTGAACTTCGCAATTTAAAATAGAGATAAAAGGCTTGTATCACTTTAGCTTCGACCGATAAAGGGCGAAACGCTCGATTGGTTAGGAAAATACGGGGGAAACTTTTGATATGCGTAACACACAATTCCTTTGTCATCAGTTGTCATGTTATGTAGTTAGTTATTCAAGAAAACTACTACTTCCTAAATAGGTAAACAGAATGTCTACCATACCAGCTACATAAAGAAATTGACATTTCTTGAATGTACAATCATAAAAGGAAGTCAGAATGTTGAAAACGTCAATAGCAACATTTTATATAAAAAATTACCAAAGAAACATGAACTCACATTACATGATCAAGCGGTTATAACGATGGAATACTAACAGCGAAATACTGATCTGACATCACAATGTAAACACGGGAAACCCGTTAAACAATCACGTTCAACTCGTCCGGTTTACATTGAAGCATGGGCAAAAGTGTCCCAAAGCGAAGAGACGGCGCCGCACCGCACCGTACGTACCTACACACGATCAAACACCGAGCTATTTGCATTGCCCGAACAATTACATCAAGGCACTTAGCGCTACGAAGAACTGGGCCGTGGACAGACAACGAAACGCCATTTGACACTTCCTGTTTCCGTCTAATATATTTGTACATGCGCTTCATCAGTAATGGACGCATTCGGGTCAGAGTGTGCGAAAATTGACACTTGCATTGTTAACCCTGTAATTTTTTTAATGAAATTAGAATGGCGATCAAGCTAACGGTATACTTGCTGGGAAGTGGTATCGCATATACTACCTACACCACTATTATCACAGAATCTATTGTGACGACTGTATTACCTCATATAATATAATGATTAAGATATTCCTTCGATCCTTGTAATTTCGCTGAAATAAATAACCTTTCACAATGAAATACAACTTAATAACCACGCAAGTAAGAATGAGAATTGAATGAGACAAAGCACAAACCCACGCAGACGACTTTGTCTTCGTCTGATATAATGCTAAACATAGACAAATAGCAAATATTCATTAAGAACGTGTCATAATTTGGATCGTGTGTATTTTTTAGGACATGAAATGCTAATCGAAAACGTCCGTGTGATTAATCAAGTGGGGATGGGGGGTGCAGGGGGCCGGACCGAGCCGACAGTGACGATCGCGAAGATTGATGTGATCATGCTGCTTCGCTTGTTGCCGCTATTAAAAGTCAAACGGGTAACGTTTCTACTGACTATTGACGCTAAGATAGGTCAAAACATTATCTCAAGCTATTTTTGTTCATCTCACATATAAAATTATGTACATAAGACATAATTGTCTCCAATTACGATTTCAATTATTAATTAACGCAATCATTGTCATATATGTTAATAAAATACACACATAAGTTATCATTAACGAAGATTACCTTCGTTCTTAGTACATTAATTTAGAATGATATAGAAAAACGTGTATTAACAAAACCAATGATTCATTATACTGTCTATTTAGTTTACTATGCTGACTTACATCGTAAGTTCAAATCTGGCTAACTCTCTGATAATGGAAATGTCCATAACAAACCAACATTAATTCGAAGAGTCGGCTCGCGCCTTGTCTCTTCAGTAAAATAATACCATGTGAAGTGTTGTATTTACCGCAATATCGACAGTTGACAATGTATCTAACTACCCTATCTGAGAGAACAATCACAACAGTAAATACAATAATAATATCTCACGACAATCCACACAGCGCCATCTAGTCCCAGCTAAGCATAGCTTGTGTTATGAGTACTAGACAACTGATATAAGTACACAGAAATATTTTTTTTTGTAAATACAAATATAATAAACATAGAAAATACCCAAACTGGTGCAAGCAACCATACTCATGAATACAAATGTACCGTGCGAGAAATCGAACTCGCAACCATTGGAGGTAAGTGAGCTGAACCACAATACTACAGAGGCCGTATTACTACTATTATTAAATGATTGCGAGCCCATTTTCTTCCCATTTAAAAAGCACATTATGCATATCATTTATCACAAAACAGACGTTAACTCTCCAACGGCTATTTGGTGTGAATGTATTCTGGACAGATTGTTATGAAATGACAGGAATATTATCATAACAGGGTCCCTATATTCGCCCACCGGGCCGTCAATATTTGAATCACAAAACTCGACGCTAAGCTGCGTAATCTCCATTGTGGTGTGCCAATTACTGACTCTCCCCTTCCGCTTGAATAAATAAATATTGTGAAAACATCATCTGAGCGCAAGTGATGCGACTGAATTTATTTTCCCAGAATATTTTGTTATTTTATAATCCCATTTCATACCTTCAACGGTCACCAAAGACGACATAAAACTAATAATAATAATAACGAGTAGGCAATTTATTGTCAAATCTCATACCTATATATTTCAATCCAAATTAGTACTGTTCTTTTAATATGAAATCCAGTATAAACCTAATAAATTTAGACATCAATTAATGACCACGAAATATGGAACTATTAGGCATTGATCAACCGATCAATTCAATGTCGATCGATCGGAATTGGTTTCAAGAGTTTCATCTGAGCAGATGTCGTTAAACTAGCTTCAACCTTGTCTATAACTACATCGTTGGTTTATTGAAATTTTGCAAACAAATTAATAAATACAGCATCATAAACCCCATATTTAGTATTATTGAATAACAAGAAAATTATAATTAACATATTATATTATTATTATAATGTATTAGAAATGATGTTACAAGTTAATTTTATATCGATGAATTCTATTCTATTCTTCTATTTCATACATATATTTAATTTTAAATTGACTTTAAATAAGATCGAAACACTATCAATTTATTTTTTTTCTTACAAATCGCAGATATGCTCTTATACTATAGCTAGCTCACAAATATGTTTAAGTTTGTATGCCAAGAGTGCTTTATGAAACCCATTAAAACTTGTATAAGTATTATATTAACAATTATAGAAAAGGATTATAAAATAGGTTAAAAAATAACGTAAACAGATATATCACAATATCTTATAAGTTGTCTAAGAATATTATTAAGTTTAATTATCTTACTATTACTTTTTCTAAGGCAAGAAAAATATTGATATTAAAAATGTTTCTTTATAACTTTAATGCTCCAATAACAGTAAGAATGGCGGACGTAACTTCATATAATATATCGATAGTTTAATAATCGATAATCGATATTAGGCACGTACAAGTAGTACAGCTCTCATCTCTATCACGTCTGCCCAATCCGAGGCTATTTTGATTGCAAACAATGTTAGCTGTTAAGTTTACAATCGATTTTATGACTGCATTGCTTATTTTACGACTTATAAGCACCAATCATCGCAGTTTGCCGCGATGTCATCAAATGAATTACATAGTTTGCCATTCGAGTGATTTTATCGATATGACCTTAAACGGGAATGAATATAAACTTTGTTATGATGTAAAATAATAAGTTAGTATATCTATTTATTTTAACTATAATGTGTTACAGTAAACTATAATATTCAAGGACTTAGAAGATGCTCACTGCTACCACTTAAGGTGATAAACTAAAATTTTTAATACACTTATATTAATATTGGTTTTAATGACTTATTTGATAGAAATAAACTTAATTATATACCGAGATCTAATATGAGACTTAAACGAATAGAAGATTTTCGATCAAAAACGATTCATTTAGATTACTGTAATCTAAATGAATCGTTTTTGATCGATATACATACCTATAAATTACAATCATAAATAAGACAGTTATTACAGGTGAATAATAATAATAATAATAATTTTTATTTTGCATCCAATATTTACAATTTATGTAAGGTAAAAGCACTAATGCTAGACACATTAAGGACAAACCAAACTTCATTCTCAAAAATACAAATGTATTTATCAAAAAACTACAGTTACAATTTTTTTTACTGTTAGAGCAACTTTTACAAATTAACTTTTTCATGTAAGATGTTTTAAAACTAACATATTTTTAACTAAGAATAATATTTATCTTAGGTTTGTCGTAGACACTAAAAGATGACAGCATCAAAAATCAAATCCACCAAAAATAGACATCAATTGGAACTAATAGTAGACATATATAAGATCACTCTAATATTATTTGTTTCATCAAAACAAATCAATAAAAATACTTTAAAATGAATACCGAGCACAGCCTGTGCTTTAAAATTATTAAATTAGCAACAAAATATAATCAAATAACATAAAAATATAATTGTCAGAAAATCAATATTTAGCCATATTGCTTGTCAAAAGTAATTAGATTTTGGCATCTGGAATGATGATGATGATGATGATATTAAGTACTTTAAACTATTCAAATCTAAACTATTGATACTAGGACCTTATTCCTTGGGGTTGGGGTGGGGTTCACGAAGAAAGTAGTCTCGTCCATGTTATAAACTCGCTGAGGTGCATTAAGAATATCTGTATGAATATTACTGTTTAGGTAAGTGCCAATTTCTTGAAACCAATTTTTTATTTGAGATATCATTACAGATGCTCTGGAGGCTGTCAAATTTACCTTGTTATAAGGTCAGGGTGACGCTTTAAACAGCTGTTGTACTATCTCTTCCCTGGTCTACCGTTCTTGGATTCTATCTTACTATCTTAAGGTCTTGAACTATTTTCTTAGCACTATCTTGTAAGTTATCTTTTCGTATTGGGAACCCTTGTTTGACCATAGCTTTTGCCTATGTATTTTTTCACCGCTTCGGTCACATAACACCTTCTTCCCATTTTACGTGTAATAGGTCTTTCCCTTGACTTTGTTTATCAAAGTTACTCGGGGACTCCGATTTTCTTCTCCACAGTATCTGTTGGAACGTCCCGCCTGCATTCTTATATAGCTGCTTCCATATTATCTTCGGAGTATCGAAACATCAGACCCTTTACTGGAGGCATTGTACTCGAACTTTAATTTGAAATTAATGGCTACCTAATAGTTGACACCTAGTATACCCTAATAGTTGACACTGTCTACTTATAGTTAGACTAGTGTAAAATAAACGAAACTCAGATACAAACATTAGTTTTAAAACGTAAAGGCTAAATTTGCATTAAAATAAGCTAACAAAATCAGTTCGATGTAACCCTAATTGAAGACACACATGTCATCTTTTAGGTTTTGTTTGATTTGTGGTACTAATAGTAAACACCACTTCAAATTCATAAAAAAACAAGCCAAAACAACAAGGAAATAGTTCTAATAGATCAATAATTTCATACATTTATAATATCGAAACCAACAATAGCCAAAAATCATATATATATATTATATAAGACAAAATCATACGTATTAAAAGTCAGTCGCCTTAAGAAAAACGCTAAGAATTACGCACTTATTATCAACCTGCTCATATTGTTTGTTGTCAATTGACGCCGTTTTGAAATTTGCTTGACAATGTATGCAAGCTTTTGACCACGTATCATAAATGACCCTAGGTATCTTTAATACCAGTAGTGGTGTTACTTAAATGATTAGTTTTCTTAATAGAAAAGATTTTTTTCGAAAATGTCATCTTTTAGTTCAGTGTCGGGCATTAGTGCTATTACCTTACCTAAACTAAGTAGAAACTTGTATTTTAGGTACCAGTTCGCTCCTCTTCCAATTCAAAATATTTGCAATTACAATTTATAAAAAGATTATTTTTAATTAAAAACAATAAGATATTTAATCAAATTACATCGATTTGTCACAACGCTTTGAAATACTGTGTTTCTTTGACACAGTCTAAAATGGCATTACAATGGCAGCACCATAGGTACAAGGTTAATACAGACGTCTTATATTGATGTATCACGAATGATATAAATCAATGCGTGAACAACTGAATCGATTCTAAATAGGCCAAGGTGATCTAGGTTGTTCTACTGAAAACGTAAAGCTTGCGTCCATCGAGTATAGCTACGCAGTTTATTCTTTAAAGTATGACGCTTTATATCTTGAACTATTATTCTTATTTCATAAACAGCTCACTATGTAGGTAGCTGTTTATAAAATAAAAATGAAGAGATGATATCCAAAATTAATCTTTTTAAAATAATCAGATTTATTCCACTATGTTATTTCTATTACATGTATGTACATATGTATGTAGATATTTTTATAACATCAAGTCACGTGACGCATGTCATGAAAGATGCTCAGTATGAATATCATAAGAAAACTTTCAAGACTGAAAGAATGATTTTATTTATGAGGCTATATCAAAAAGCGAGCCTGATATCTGGTTTACGCAAAGCATTGCGTATTCTATGGATAAATAAGTTCTTAATAATCCTAATTAAATAAAAAATACAATATGTTAAGGGTACACAGTCTAGTTACGCAATATGTTATAATAACCTATAAACATAAAATAAAAACTATAAATATCATATATAAGTATATTCATGATGACAACTATCATTTTAATTGATAGATACAAGCAACATAACCTAATTTACTAAACACTAAGTTAATTTTAATTTATAATTTAGTCTCCGTGTTTGAGTTCTTAAATACTTGTGCTAGTATTTGAAAGGTCAAACATTATATAGCGTATATTAAAATTTGCCCCACGCATATTAAATTGACACGACTATGATCGATCTAGGTTAGATGACCGGTTAATGAACTTGCATTAATATTTTTATCCATTACACTTATTTATAAATACAAAATTGAAATTTGTTTTTTCGCTTAACCTAAAACAGTTTAGTGGGCGACAGCCTTTAATTTCAATATCTGTCATATATTTTGATAGACTATTGTGTTCGTTTACAAATAAAACAGACAATTTATATAATACCACTAATATATAATAAAATATGTTTATAATTATTATAAATGAACATTACATGCCTATCTAATACTATTCCTCAGAATTATCTGGGGATATAATTATTAAATCATATCATAATTATTAAAGAATTTTACAATCAGCTAGTCGAATTAAGAACCTCTTACTAAAGTCCTCTAAAACATATTTTGAACAACGCTACATGAGATATTATCACAGAAGCTAAACGCCAAAATATACAAAGATCTTTATTTGTATGTATAATACATATATATTAAATATATATAGAAAACGATATCAATCATCCGCTCATATTCTTATTGAATATAACGAAACGCCGGATACGCTGTCTCGATATTTTTGGCACGTGCGGTAGGTAGACTTCTAGTTAGCAATGTAAACCATTAAAAAAATCATAAATTAGTTTCAGACGAGACGTATTATTCTCATAAAACCTTCTAATAAAAATATACCCTCATTAAAATCACACCATAAGTACCGTCGAATTATGGTCATCCTACTTTTGGCAGTGGGTAAGAAAAAATGTAGGTGGAATAAAACAAATAAAATCTAATTAATAACAATTTGACTAAACGAAAACTTATACTTTACGTCAAATAGATCGCTGCTTAGTTATAACACCACAACATAATTTTCACCGCCATGAAGTGTAGACAAGTGGATTCTGACATTAAATAACAGTTTAGACGTATTCCACTAGGGTCGCCATACATATGAATTAGTCCAGATTATATCTGGACTATTACACTGGACTTCTTCTGGACAGATTATATCTAGACTAATTCATGTATATGGTGACCGTGTAATTAAATCCAGCAATTTTACTAAGATGCAAAACAAATTAACCATATTTTAAAATAAAACTCGTACTGCAAATACCTAGTACGAGTTTTATTTTAAAATATGGTTTTTTTATTTAATTGGAATGGTAAGCAAGTTGACAGCCCACCATATGGTAAGTAACTCTGTGCATTGTTTACCTCAGTAAGGCGACTGATTTAAACGTTATAACTTTTTTTTAGAAAATCCGTCTCAATAGCAGGACTTTTAAAATGCAATATGGTAACCCTATCCCCGGACCGGGCCAACATGACCGAGGTATAACCACGCACTCCGCCGCAAGACAATTTCAAATTGCTAGCTATAATTCAAGAGTGTAATATAGAAGATATTTATAAATAAACGAAGGACCCACTACGAGCGAAATGTAACGATATTTATGGAAACACCATAGATTTACACTTATTGAGTTTGAGCAGAGGTAACATTGAGATTTCATGGGATGATTGATTTGATTGTGATTGATTTTGTAATAACATACGGTACTAGATGTAGCTCGCGGTGTTGCTTGCTTGAATTTGAGTACAAAGTTTCAATTAACCATACACGAAACTTTGTATTCGTATTATTAATATATATTTCCATATTTTATCTTTATACCTATATAATAAAATCGTAAATTCATGAAGCAAAAACTGTCTATTCGTCAGTTTGTTTTTTATCTGTGTAAGATTTCACTTAAAAATAGCTAGAGAACTTAGGATTAGGACTATTTTTACAAAATCTCTATACATATAGGCTAACTAAGGCAAACGGCTTATGTGAAAATTTTCAATAAACAATCTATATTTTTTTAAATACATTTACGAATCAAACAGTAGATGCTTTATTTATTGTTGTCAAAATTGTACTACTTGTACTAAACTAGCGGTGTCAGCGATTTCGATAACCAATTTAGTTTTGACTGTAAGAATTCGAGTTAAGTTTAATGATATTTCATCAAATCTAATTCGAATCTAGACTAGATTTTAGTGATAGAAGAAAGATCCACCTATATCACTAATTTTCTCGGTATAATATTGCCCATAGAGGTACAAATTTGTAAATATGTTACAATATTTAAATGGGTAGTTTAAATGTAACATCTTTACAAAATGTATGGTGTTTATATTGTCTAATATTATGTTTATATTACAATGTAGCATTTCTATCGTTGTGCCATAAAAGACGAGCCATAATATCTACTAATGTTTAGCACGAAACATAGTTATTTCGATAAGTTGACCTGTTTCAGACAATCGCTCATATGCAGACGATGTTATAACAGCTAGGCTTCCGTTCGTAATATAATGACTTCTGATAATTGTTACCGTAAAGATAATGACATAAGTAATAGCTAATACTAATATATATTTTATGCTAGCAGTTTACTGCGACGTCGTCTGCTACATTTAGGCAAAAGATAGCGTACTAACGTCCCCGTGATATAATCTACGTTTTTGTCAAATTTCATTACATACTTCATCATTAGTTCCGAATTTATAATATTAGTATAAATTTACAATGTTTAAAACTTTAGTAGCTGTAGACAGATATAAAAGCATGCATTTAAAGACAAAACGCAGCATGTAGGTACCTATTCTTATTTGAGCAATTCATTTCATTCCTCAACAACCAAAAGCCATTCTTTTTATATAAAAATATTTGCCGTGTCTGCAGCTTCACCAGCGTAAAATTTATAGACCATGTGTTATTTTGATGTATAAGCTATTTTAGAGTAAAGTTTCATCAAAATACGTTCAGTAGTTTTTGAGTGATAGACTAACAATTATTTATCTATTCATCCATCCATACCCACAAACTTTTGAATTTTTGTAAGAAGTAAATTAGTAATATTTATCAGGGTCGACTGAAAATCATTTTTATACTTGAAATACGACTGTAAGACTAAATTAGAGACTTTCCTATACGTTCTGACTAACTGTATCATGCGTATTTACATCTGATTTAATTATAAAATCAAAAGAACGCTAATATGGCAGGTCGGCAAACTATATTACAAAAATTAAACCGATTGGCGCAATGTTAATTTGATCTAT